ATGCAATATATAAAGGGAATTAAGGGGATGTTGTTGTTGTTTCCCAGCAAAATCATCATACAAATCACCTTGTCTAGGATTCAGGCGTTGTCTTTACTGAAGCTCACTCACTAGATGAGTAAATGAGTTTCACATGAGTGGGGGCCCTCTGGGTCGGCACCTTGCTCATCATCTAAGAGAGGCCAGTTTGCACGGTAGCAGGGTGTCTTTTTTCATCATGTCGGAGCTTCTGTGGACCCGGTGGCAGTGTCGAGTGCCCCGGCTGCTCCGTATGCACTCACGGTTTCTCTGTCAGGGAGAGTGAACATGACCTGGAAAGGATTTTTAAAATATGGTGTGGTATTATGACTGCTAATACCAAAGCTGAAGAATGCCCTGTCATGCGGAAGCAGAATTGTAGATTAAAAGTAAATTACAAGCTCAATTCTGGCCCATAAATGGTCCATTGAAATCATTCTCTAAGATTCATGAGTGTTCCATTAGCAAAAGGAGCTTGTTTTTTATCCTACCCAGAGGCAAACACAAGCGTAGTCATGCACTACACTACTCTATTGCTTCATGTCTTGGTTTGGTTTATTGGTTCAAGATGAATTTTATTTTTTGGGTGTTGAAATTGCCTTGATCTCACCTAGAAGTCCAAAAGTCATAGAGAGTTTTAAAGCTCAATTTCCTGATTAAATGTCAAGATTCTAGATAAGAGGATGAAAAACATTTTAAAAACACTAATTTGGGTTTTTAATTAAAAGTAACAAACCGGGATTATTGGCAGAGTGGCTTGTGTCTCACAGAAAAGTAGATCTCTGATGTCTGGAGTCACAGGGTCGAGGCAATCACCGGCATGGACTTTTCCCTAGAATCCTTCTTGTTGGTGTCTTGGAGGCAGTGCAACCCATTTATCATGGCTCTGGATGAAGGTCCATGACTCATCCGTGCGATGGTTATCCAGGCGCTCGGGGGAAGCTGCCATGACCCTGCAGATACGCCAAGCTCGGCCCGACGTTTCGGAGCCAGACCTGTCCATCAGCAAGAGTTTAATGAAGAGGGGGAAAAGAGCCTCGTACCAAGTCAGTGATGCATTACTTTAATAGAATGACACTGTTGACTGCCGACATGAATGTTAAAAACATGGGCCTCCATCTTCATTTTAACTGTCTCTCGGAGTAAAACCCGACCACCTACTAAAAAATAAGTTCTGCATCAAACCATTGAGATGTTATCCCTGGACTCCCTGCTCAGTAGTGATAGAGATATTGGTTTGAGGCCCAATTCTACATCGTTTGTGAGTGAAATAAGATGGTATACATCAACTTGTATCTGCTCGTTAGACACTGAGCTGGAGGCATGATGCGGTTAGCTTAGCTTAGCATAACGACTGGCAGAAAGGGGAAAAGGTTACAACTTGAAAAAACAGTATCTAGTAAGTTAACGAGTTCATGAACAACTTTGTTGTGTGTGCCTCGTGCAGCTGTTGCACAGATGTGGACCATGGTTCTGGTAACTGCACAAACCGGTCAGAGTCAATGTGATAAAGAGACCTGGGAAGCACAGTCAGTGTTTGCCAAAAAAACCCGTCCTCTACGTTTTTCAATTTGATGTCTCACTAACATAATGACGCTAACCAAACTCCTATTTCATGCTGTGAGAGGGTTCAACTAAAGCCATGTTATAGAATTAGAGCTGCTATAGCATTTACTCGCTGGTGGAAAATGTCAGGAAATAATTAGAGTTTGACATTCCAGTTAAGACACAGGGAATTCTCTGAAAGTGGACACCAAGCGCTATGGCAGTAATTGTACGGCAAGTTCTCTTTGTGGAGCCTTCTTCTGGGTTTACTTCCTCTTTTCCTCAACATCATTCTCGATGTTGTTGCTTATTTTAATAGGACTTTGGTGGCAGGTACTTGGGAATTCTTTAGGGACATTTCTTTTCCGAAGCCCGATGAACACCCTTAGATACTGATTGTGATTCAGAGCAAGACGAGCTTCACTCTTAACATACAAGCAGGTATTTTTATCCACTATGTGGAAGAACAGAAATATGTCACGAGTTCAGACTGACATACTTATGAGTCATTTCATATATCAACTGAAGCTATTTTCAGGCTGCGTGCACAACGTTAAACACACACACTCAGGCTTATTCTGATGAACACAGTATGTGAAATGAAGAATGCACTGTTACCATAAAATTGAGTCAAATGAGAGTTTATAAAAGGTTAAACACACATGCTGAGGTTCCTGCTACTGGGGATGTTTCTTTGGCTAATGGACGCAGGGCTGCGCCACTTTTGCTCGCTACGTTAACTACCACGAAGCTTTTGAGGACCTGCGAGAGCGTCAGTTCACACGCACACATCCCAAAGGGGTAAACATCAGAACGGGTTTCACACACAGCATTCAAAAGATATTCCTACACCTACTGATCCTTCCCGTCTAAAGGAAGCAGCAAGGTGCTGCTATATATGGTCATATTCGAGTTGCATATCACATAACGAAGAGATGTATCATTTTACCAGGAGATATCAGGGAGCTGCATATACGAGTATTTGAGAATCGTGTGATTGTGCTCCAGAACTTTGTGTAAACCCACTGCGATTAGCATCCACATACAGTAAGACGGTATGTAAGCGATGTGTTTGGACTTTTAAAATCACCGGACACCGGAGAGAGAGACAAACCAACACAACAGACCGCGTTTCCTTTCTCCTTTCCTTCTCTACTGTAACGCTGTTGTTTCATTTCTAGACACGGTAACTAGGTTCAAACAGCCAAATGTCTTTTGATTCCAAGAGTAAAGGGAGCAGTTCCATTATCAAAGATGGAGAGATATTAAGAAAGAAGTACAAAAGAAGTCAGGCAGACCGAGAATCCCAGTACATAACCGCGGTGCTGGACTTAATGATGAACGTCAGTCAGTACGCAAGGAGAAGGTGAGTCATTGGCACAAATTTGGCACAATTTTGCCGCGTTGACAAAAATCCATTCTTGTTTTTAACCAGCAGGAGGCAACAATGCACCTTCAAGGCCTAGTCTGCTGGTAATTTAAAGAAGAAGAAGAAGAAGAAGGAGGAGGAGACATCCAAACTGTCTTTATTTATCTCTCTCTGCATTTTCACACGTCATGGTTCACGTCAATGCTATTTTAGCACTGGAGATGGTCCTCCAATACAGCATGATGTGCATTTAGTCAACGATTGATTCAATCACAGTTGAATAGATCACTGAGCAGGGTACGCATCACGCACTTACTGGTGATTGACAGGACGCTGCCACGGCGTTGTTAAGGATTGGTCCATGATTTTTGTCTTCCAACTGTCACTCATGGCTGCTGCAAAACGGAGAGGATGACGGCCAAAAGGACAAAATTGAGGCTTTAAAAAATGTACTTAACTGTTAACGTTTTGAGTCCCTCCACCAAATGGTCAAGAAAATAGAAAGTAAATGAAAGGAAAAGACAAGTTTATTTATAGTGGACATTCATCGTTAGTCACTGGCCAGCGGAGATATGTGACAGGATTCACATCTCGTGGCTAATGAATAGTGCCCATACATCATAATGCAGGTCTCTTTTGTGCCTGATTTCACAAAGGAGAGGAATTACCTTTCTCCATATACCTGCAGGACCAACGGTGTAATACACAGAATAAAATGATAAATACCCAAATATAGTCATAACAGTGTAGCATTAGAGCAGACATAACTTGACCTTTTTGCGCTTTCTATAGCTCACTCAGCCTGTGGACACCTTTCTGCTGCCACCATGCACCATGCGTTTTTTGCCAGGCTGGTCTTCTTTTAATTAGCCTCCCGGTGTAGATTCAGCAAAAAAGGCCAGTTCATGACCTATTGAGTACCCCTGTTGGACAGTCTGAAGGAAAATAGATTTGAGTGTGAACTTGAAGGCACTTTGCCTTCCAACACGTAGCTGCTGAACACACATGTATTACAACGAGAACCCAAACGGAGATGTGAACACGTTGCAGGGAAGCTTCAGAGTTTACTTGTAAACAGGAGCAGGCGTGTCGGGTATGAAGAAGCCAGCTTAGTCCATATATAACAAAAGCCCACAGCATCCATGGACGTCCAACTGATGTCAGCCTCCTTTGCATTACAGACTGTGTGGAACATGCAAAGTGCTCCTGAAGTCTCGTTACAAAACTTGATATTGGCGGCAAAATTAAAATGTTAAAATGTATTTTGTTTTTCAAGCGTACCCGGATCTCATCCTTGCCTTAAAAAATTTCAAATCCAGGCCAGAATGCATGTCAGCCAGTGAGATTGTCCGATGTCAGCAGCAGACGGAAGGGATCGCTCTGGTACTGCGCGGTGCTACTTTGTTCTACTAGTTTCATGGAAAACAAATCAAGTGGAGGCTGATAGCTCAATGGGAATCCGCCGAGATGCTTCTCATTGAGATGCACATTCCTGCTCCTCCACCCACTCTGCGCTCCCACACGATCCAAGCGAGGGCTGAAATAATTGGACCCTGAATTTGTGCAAATGTGCAAACCGTAACAGCGGTAAACATTGGTGCTGAAGTAGATGAAAGTGCTTTAAATCGCCTGTGTAATTATTTTGCATAATGTCCAACTGGATCTTTCTCTTCGTACATTTTTGCGGCTGAACATGAAATGTGACAAACAAAGTAAGAATCCGTAGCCTAGTTGCTGAACAAAGTCTGAAAGGATGACTCATTTGGCATTGTTTTCAGCTAGTGACCTAGATGCGTTTGTGTTGTTGTTGTCTGTTGTGCTTCCTTGCTGCTGTTTTGAGCATACACTGTGATATCGGTAACCACATATATATATATATATATATATATATATATATATATATATACACACACACAAAGCTGCATTGTCTTCCGTTTCCTTTCCTTTTTCCTCATTCCTTTGTGGTTTTACTAGTTGGTGAGTAGCACTAAGGGCCCCACTTTCCTGTAAAGTGTCAGGGCCAGCCTCTACCCTTACCCCACACCAGCTGTTAACACAAGACGCAAACATGAAATGATACAGGGCGGCGGCGAAAAAGGGAGGCCCAAGAAAAATAAAGTGAACAGAACAGAACAGCCCAAATTCTTTTGACCCTCCCAGTTTTAAACTCTCTCTCGGGCAGGAACCAAAGGTCTGCCGTCCAGCGAAAACACACCACCACCCAAGGTCCCGACGAAGCTGACTGTTTAAACCACAAACCATCTGGAGAACAAGACTGATTTCAGTGACCTTTTGTAAATTGGCTGACAGGTTCTAGTAAACTTGTTCTGCGAGGTGCAACGAGCCACATACACAGAATTCCACAGCGGCTCTTTGACGCGTGCGAAGCCGCATCGATGCTAATGCTGTCATGGATTCGTCTGGGTCCGGGGTACGATCCTTATGTCTGGATGAATGTCTCCATTGTTATGAAACTAGCTAAAGGTCAGTATTCAAAATTCCTCTAGCTCCAGCTGTGCATTTCCAACATTTTTATGACGTGTGTCATCTTGATATTGTTTACCTGTTAACCTCCTTTTGGTTATTCTGTGGTGTCTATATTTTGTTTTTTTTTAATCTTCTAAAAGTGCTCCGTGTCCCTTCCTGAAGTGGTTTTCTGCTGAAGCCATTGAGGAAGGACTCTAATGATGACCTGCAACGGTCGGTTCCTGTTTGCTAAAAGCAGTCTGAGTGTGTAGAGGGCTGCAGGAATAAGTTGCTCCTGTTCCCAGTCCCTGTGTTTTTTGGTTAGATGCCTGAAATAAGCTTGTTTTAAACACAGACCTTAACAGATTTTGAAGTTTTGTTTAATGATAGAATTTGTTAATAAAATACCGAGTTCATTTTGAAGCTTTGACGCGTACTACTTTTACTCACAAGTAGTCTGGCAGTTCTTGAGTGTTTTTATAACAGAACTTTGACCGTTTTCACATTGTGTTTTTCATTAAAGTTAATTGTAACCTTTCTGGTTGCCTTAAAACTGCACTAGTCAGCATTGAGTTGTACTTGCTCCAAACTCTTGTGTCACTTCTGGCTCCAAAAGAAGAAGAACAATGTTAAAAACCAAGATGGGGGAGGCAGAAATGCTAAAAAGACGGCTTCAAACCCATTCTCCATAAACCAGTTGATAACGTCACAGTGACGAGGTCCACTTCTTATACACGAGCAAAATTAACAGCACCCGACAGATGATTTGTTATACAGAACATATTGGAAGCCAGGCATGCCATCAAAAAGTGGCAGGTAATAGGATGAACCATCTGTCAATCAAACCAATCGGTAGAAGAGCAGAGACGTATTCTCCATTGAGGAAAGCCTTCGGTGCCGCGCAGCGACCAGCTACAGCAGCATCTATTGTTGTGGCCCCGTCTGTCAGCGGCTTCTCACAGGGTGCTGATTGGTCCGTGCTCCGACTGAGCGGCCATCAACGCGCCATTTGAAGGCCGGCAGAGATTGTTGCGCGATCTGACATCCCGAGAATCCAGCTGTCGGGGAAGGTAACAAGCAAAGGACTGTTATTCGTAGATGTGGCGAAAAACTGCACAGCTCTTTTCATTCTCAATAAGCAGAGTTATTAGTTATTGAGAATCCCTTTCGGCAGTTCAGACCCCCCCGTCCCCCCACTCCTGGCCTCACTTTGAAGGTCTGCCCAGACTCTCTTATTTGATAAAAAAAAGGGACCATCTGTGTGTCAGATTTGAAAGCAGTTTAACCCTGTTTGAGCTTCCCGGACCAACACTCTGGAATTGTGGTGGAAAAAGGAAAGGGTATCGTTCCTGTTACCTAATACCTCGGGGGGCTTTTAAGATTGTCTCTTGCGACTCTTTGCTCCACGATGGCGCGATGATGAATCACATACTCTGGCTGGACCTGCGACCTCCTGCCGGTTGGCTTTCATAGGTCGCCTATACTCTGTATCCCGGCCCATCTAGGTGGAACAGTTCCTTTTGGACGGGGTCTTTCTCTCTCTTTCTCTCCCCTTTTTTTTTTTTTGCACATGTAAAACTCCAAACGATTCCTTGCGGACAAACTGGGCGGAGGAAGTCTGGTTTGAATGTCAAGTATCATGTGTCTGGGCAAAAAACGCCTTTCGTTGAGTTTGCAATCCCCATCAGCTCTCCTCGCTGCAGTCCTTCGTGTACCACCATCTGGCCCACAGCTGAAAACCATTAAGACCCGCTGGAACTTCCTCCGCACCATTCCTGCCCAGTTTGAAGACGAGTAAGTAGCTCCAATCTCGGCTCTGTTGTTGTTTGCATGTTTCTCTGCACAGACCTGTGTTCTTTCCTCACCGGCGGTTTGATGAAGAATGTCAGGGCGCCGCATTTGATCTGAAGGGAGTTTAAGCACCAGGCTTTTGGGAGAGCGAGTCTGGCGTTGAGATTAGACACCAAGACACCGCGGGGGATTCAACCAAGGAATTCTGTGTTCCTGAGCTCATGAACAGATCGGAGCTGGGATGTCTAATGTGCCGCGCTTAGCCAAGCAAGATTCCAGAGCCGGCGCTAAGGGCAAAGCGAGGCAAACAAAGGATCTTTGTAGATTGGTGTTTCTTGGGGCATTATGCGGGGACCACGGCGCGCGCGCTCTGCTTCTGGTTCTTCTGACTTTAAAGCACACATGGCTCCGATTAGCGAGCGGCTGAGAGGCATTTTCTGAAAGGCCGGTTTCTTTCTGATTTTTTTTAATAAACCTTCTCAAACGTTCACGTTTGTCAGACTCCTCTGTATTTGGAGCTCCTTTTCACTTGTGAGGGACGACTCCACGGGGTCAAAGTGCGTCTCACCCCTTTCCCAGAAAGAGTCTCCCCGCAGCGGAATTCCAAATGTTTGAGTCACCGGAGGTGGATGTTTGGGCTCTGCACTGGGCTTTTGTTTTTGCTCTTTGGAGGAGGATGTGCCAAGTATGTGAAGTGTTTGCTCATGCTTTCTGACCCTCGTTGCAACCAGTTCAGAAACACATTTTGCACGTCAACATGTTAACGTTTTATATTACAAAGCTAATTTGCGTGATTTGGGTGATTCTTGTGATATTCAGGCTGCGTTGTGTCTTGTTAGGTCTGCTCTTTATTACCACTTTATTGTGGTTTGTGGGCTCATTTCATTCTGTTAATGTTGGAACAAACCGAATAATGGACTCTGTTGGAATACTGTGAACACACTCTTGATTGACCAGACCTAACCTGGTGCTTCCTCTGCAGCTGGCAAACATCGAAGGGAGACGGAGGAAGTTTGCAGCTCCGTGTTAAGTACGTGTGTGCGTGCGTGCGTGATTTGTGTCCGTCTCGGGGGTCGATAGTTCTCTCAAAGGGGGTGCTGTTGATTCACCAGACAGGAAGCTATTAAAGCGGGCAGAACATTGCCGGCTGCCAATCAGAATGAGTGACATCACGGTCAGGTGTCAGAGGCGCTGCATCACACCACAGTGTGTCCCAAACAGACGGGGAGGCAGCGAGCCGTGCTCCGCCGCCAGGCGTTCCTGCAGCGGTGGCCAAAATGAGACCTGGCCAAAAGCTCCCAGACGAACCTCACCTCTGCTTAAAACATGTTTTTCTTCTCACATTGGATGTGAAGAGTCGGTAAGAATCCCTCCAACACTTCTCTCTCTCTCGCAGGAATTTAACAAAAAATATTCATAATGCCTGTGTAATAAATAAATGACCGCAGCAAGTCAGACTTGTGAATAAGAAGCACACGTTTGGGGAGAAGAGGAGATTCTGTTTTGCTACACTGAGGAATGTCCCCGTCTCCACCCTGAAGCTTGTTCCGTTTAACTTTTCTCCTTCGTTGGGGCCTCCGTTGCAGTAAAATATGCCCTTCCTGTGAGAAACCCACATGCATCGTATTCGTTTGCTCAAACTACACTACCCTCAATTATACGCCATATAACATACTGTGCTCTTTTTTTTGTTACACTCTGCAGCCGAGGGGTTTTCTGATCAGCGGTTTGTGGGTTAGCCTCCGGCTCTCTCCAGAAGCAGAACTTTACGAGACGAGATATGACTTGGTAACATGACGCCAATCATTTTGCAATGGTCCCTCGCTGCTATTTATTCAGCGCTAATGATCCATTAACCCTCCGTGTTACAGTGATCAATTAGTTCTCACGATTCTCACTTTCTATTTCATCTCAGTCCCAAGGACCATCGTTTGGTAAATGGTTTTTATATAACCGCTTATTTTCTGAATGGCATCATTTGTCGTGCACTTAATTGGTGTTGGGCATCATAAACGCGGCACAGACTCCCTCAGAGATGCATCAAGCAGAGATGCTGGTGCTCTCCTTTTTTACATTCTAATTTACCGACTTATAAAAGTCTCAAACCTTTTTGAGACCTCAAACGTGACCGAGTCGGCTTGTGTCAAAAGTATATTTAGTCCTAACTAGTTAGGGACGCCCCCTTTGTCTTGGTTTATGTGCGCATTCATTTATGTAATACTTCAATCAGATACAAAATAAGACCATTGATTTTAGGCGATCGTTGATCATCTTTTGGTAAACTGGATGAGGTTGTTCTGTTTGTTTTTCTGACAGGTGTAGCAAACTGTGGGGGCCGCAGTCAATGTGAGGGGCGCTAACCACGTGAAGTGACGTATATGTAGAGTTGTAGGTGGGGAGGAGGTCTGCATACGGGGGCCAAAACAAACTTTCATAGAGTAGACCCCTGTTTGTGTCCCACGCTGACACCTGAACTCCAAATTCACTGTGTGACTGTGGGCCGTGGGCAGGGTTTGTTTTCCACTTTTCCACTAAATTAATCTTTCCCCTGATTAATGGAAAAGACCAAATATGGAAAAATTCAATTAATTTTCTAAGGTGCCCAGGCATATCTTAATGTGTGTCCTTGCAGTCCCTTTGGACCACCGGACTCCCGCGGGGGGATCAATGAAGAGGCCTGGAAGCGCTCGACGCGTTGCGTCACATATCTGAAGTAGGGCGCTTTGCATTTGTGAGAGAAGCGATTCCCTCCTTTCTCTCAATGCACTGTGCCAAGTTCTCTGTTGGAGCACATCTGGGCTCTGCATTATTAATTGAATATTAATCAGCAATCACAACTTGGGCTCAAGCGAACAGGCTGTGATGGTGTCGTCTGCACATCAAATCAAGCACTGCCTAAAGTAGCAGCCGACCAGCTGTATGTATTATTTAATATAATGTTCTTTTTTTATATATTGCAGTACATATCCAGCAGACCTGACAGCTTTGTTTGTTACAATGTCCCATAAAGTCACTGTCAAAATAGTGAAATGATTTCAACCTAAATATTGATCAGAATTGACTTTTTTTTTGTGATGACTTTACTTCATGGAATTAGATCCAGTCTCTGTGCCTCGTTGCCGTGTGCGTGTGTGTGTGTGGGGGTGCGTGTGTGTAGCCGGATGTGCGTTGGTGATTTCGGTGACCTTGCAGCTTTTTGACAGGATGATAAGCTCCGGTTCTGTTGTAACAGATTAGAAAGTAATGCGCCAGCGGACGGCAGTAAACAATGTTACATTTTACTGAGCCAGACTATTGCATCAAGACGACAGCCACAGATGATGACTGTGATGTGGCCCGGCGGTAAACAACTGTAATGCTGATGGTCCCGAGGTTTAATGGGAACACGTTCTGACAGCTCAACATTACTTCACTCGCAGAGGGTGGGGATTGTTTTGCAGGGGGGAAAAAAAAAAACATTTTCAAGAAGAGAGTCAATGCCATTTTTAACTCCGTTCTCCCTGCTGCTTTTCCAGGTGGAATAAAGGCAGACGCTCCGGAGGAACCTCGTAGACGCACATTTTCCACTATGAACCGCGCCTTCAACAGGAAAAAAGGTGAGCAGGAATAACTCGTGCTTATGTCGCTTATGGAGTTTCTCGACGCCTGATTTAGCTGCAACATGGCCACAGGCTGCACCGACTGATCCAGACGACTGAGGGAGGACACTGTGGAGTCGGACCAGCACAGACTCCTCTTTGTCGCGGGAAACTTTTTGTTAATTGCAACGACACAATAGGCGTCTTATTTGGCTGTTCAAATGTTGCCGCCATTGTACACGGAATTCTGACCTGTTGCGAGACAGAAATGTAAGTCAGCGGCATTTCTTCCACATAGGCATGTTTCTAATGGGGGTTTCATGTCAGTTAGTACTCACCATTGATTGTAATTCACCAGCAAGAGCCGTCAATAGATCAGGTTGAGTTCAATGTTTCCCAATACAGAAAGTATCTGTCGGAGGCGTTTCCGTTATCCATTTAGTCAAAAAACATCATCAAATGTTTTTTCTTTCTTGAGACCATATCTAATCCGATGTTCTAAATATCAAATATTACACTGAATAGAAACATAATTATTTATACGAAGATCACTTGGGCTGCATACCTTCTGTTGGGTTGACTTATAGTGGCCATTCCACACTGTATTTTAATAAATACAGTTTAGATTACTCCTCAGGAGGAGTAAAACCCGCCAGGACAGTTGTGTAATTTCCTCTGTGGCTCTGGAGGAGCATTCCTAAGTGAGGAAACCTGATGATGTCATCTTAAAGTTTAAGCTTTTAACAAAGTCTGCATTACAAATTGGGAGCGTGGGGTTTAAAAGATGCAGACATCAAGGGGGCATTGGGGTCCGATTAAAGATTTCTTCCAGTTGCATCATGGTGAAATTAGGATCTAGTGTTTTTGAAGTTTCACCCATACTTTACACCAACAGTGCGTTTCAGTTTTGACCGTTCTAATATAGCCCATGTGAAACCTTCTCTTCGCCCCGGTGTAAACTGCCCCGTCCATCAACAATCAGGCAGGACCATGAACCTTTTAGTCTTCAAAGCACCAAAATGAAAAACTAACTCTGCAATGTTTGTAATTCCTGCTGATGCAAACAATTTTATTGGCTGGATCAAAATCACCCACTACTGTACAACTTCAAAAAACTGCTTATACGACTGCAATAAAAACAGCCCAAACAGATAACTGCTCATTTCCATAAAACCAATCCAACATGTCCGCCCTGCTGCGCACCCCAGTGAAGAGTCTCCAGGTGAGTCTGCCCGAATGCAGAGGGAGTGACATTTGGCACAACAGATCGATGTGTCCACCACCATCTGCTCCACTCCCTCCGGTGTGAATGGAGCGGCCTGCAGAAGCCTTTGGGGGGTGTTTGGGTGGGGGGCGCAGGTGGTGCATCAGGCTTTTAATAATGTCGGGGTGTTTTAATTAATCTCCTGTTTAGCTCTCCGTTTCACCAGCGAAGGAGATCGTCCCCTCTCACCTCACATTACGTTTCTCTTTGATGGCGAATGGCTCCTTTCCTCTCAAATGAGCCAGGATCTAATCTCTGGCAATTTCAGCTAATGCAGCGGGCAGAAAGTGTAAAAAGCTAAATTATAAAAATAAAACTAGGCCCAACCGTGCCGGCAGCTCTGGTAGCAGACTGATAACGACGGTCCCAAACAAGGAAAGTACGAAGGACAGTTGGACAGAGGGGAAACGGCTCCCTGAATAAATTCTCCCAGAAAGGCTAGCACACATCGTCCAACTCTTTCCAACCGTGACGCGCTGCACACGTCCACGCGTCTGCCAACACAAGCGTGTTGAAGCCTTTTTCGCCAACAGCATGGCAGTCGGTTCCCGACCGCCGCCAGTCGCCGTTATTTCAAAACAGACAGCAACAGAGGCCTGACCCTCGGGCTTCTCCAGCCTGTTTGTTACAGTCAGTTCAGAGCACATGGTGCCAAAAGGTCCGCGACAGATTTTTCCCTCCGTGACAGACAGATAGAAAAGGCTTTTTATTTCAAAGTGAGACCCATGGTGGACCAACACATCCGGAGGCATTCAGGTGTGCGTTTTAGCCGCCGGCGTGAGCGTGCGCGCTCAATGCAACTCAGTATTCCCGGTTCCATGTTGTTAAATGTCACTGAACAAAGGACTACATGATGGGAGTTTTGAATGTTTTTTCTGAATGAGCCGGCCTGTTGCGCCATTTGCGATAAGAAAGAAAAAAAGCAGTTGATGTTGCAATAATTGCTCCTCTGGGTGAATGATAATTTGACTTTGAATCACTTCAGAGTTGATTTTAGATTTGGACCAGCCAGGCAGATTGTTCTTTGCGTCCCTTTGGAGGGACGTGACATTTCCTCTTTCCACTTTCTTCCACCGAGTTTGACTTTAGCTGTGGGCGACACGTTCCCATCAACCGGAAATCTAACGGCCGGGTGGTGCAGCTGACGACCTCACACGTGGACTAAAGTCTCATTCATTCCGTCTCAGCTAACAGTTCTCGCTGATTGCCTTGTGTCGTTGATGCTGATTGCTCCCTGTCATGGTCCTGGCTCTCCTCATTGGTGTCGTTCCCTCCTTCATTTGTAACGTGTGTGTCCACCACGTGTCTGTCTTTGCGAAGGTGTCCAGACTTCCTCTCCTGGTCACGTTGAGCGGGTGATGCCAAAGGGGGGTCCTGATCATGTTTATTGCCCCCTGCTCTGGGACGTGACGTGTCAGGAAAGCAGACCTCCCCTAACATTTACCAGCCTCGTTCTAGTTAATGTGCCTTTATGAAGCAGATGTTCTCTACTTATTTATCACATAAGAGTATTGTGGAGGTTTATGCCAATTTATTTTGCACGAGTGGGTGTGCAAAAGACATTGAGGCACAATATTAAGTAGAGGAAGAAAGGAGAGGAGGGGAAATTTGCTTTTATTATACCTGAACACTGCTTATCATCTTATTTGACCCACATTACCTGTAATTGTACATCCGTTCCTTAATAGTTTAAAGCCATGATAATTCTTAAATGCAGGGTAACTGTCAGATTATTCCTTAATTTTTTACACCGTATCCGTCTGGCTCATTGAATCATCTATGATTTAGAAATGACCAAACATCACAGTTAAGTAAAAATAAAACAGCTTTTTCTTTTTTTTAAGAAGGGGTTCAGTTTAACAATATGTACAATAATAATAAAACGTGTATTAGTCGAGAATCCCCTTCAGCAGTTCTGTTTTGGATTCTTTTTTTTTTATTGATCAAACTCATGATTTATTTCTGATTACATAACTTGTGTTGATCCACATCTCAAATCAAAAAACCCTCCCTGTTTTACAGCATCAACTTTACACAGCAGCTGCAGAGCTTTGACTGTAACATTGTGCAGGTATGAAGTCGGTCCGCTGAGCTCCTGAAAGCACGGACTGAATCCAGTGCGGTTCCATCGGAGCTGCACGCGACCGGGTCCATTTCACTGGGGGTCACTGTAATGTGCCGCCTCATATCGGAGCTGATCGACTGCAGTAATACATATTTTGCAAATCTGGCACAGACAGATGGCAGCTGAAGAAGAGCCGTGCTGTGGTTATTACATTAGGAGAGGTTGGCACAGATTCTCTTCCAGCAGGAGAAAACCGGAGCCACGGAGGTGTTTTGGTGGCACATATTTTCTCCAGTTCACTTCTGATTACACACAGTCATGGTGAATCTAACTAATCTGCCGTGTGGCGTTCAACTGCAGCAGCCAAATGAGGGACAGATTCTCCATGTTTATTTTCTCATATTTGCAGTTCTTATTTTCAATCACCTCTTGCTGCTTAAACCCCGGCTGATAAGGGATTTATTTCGGTCCGCTTAGCAAGAAAACGTATTATCGCACATGCAGGAAAAGGCCATGTAATAAATGTAACGGTGCAACCAGATGGCGACTGCCCTTCACGAGAAACCTTTTAAAGGGACTGAGTTCATCATTCAACCAGTAAAGCTTTTTAGCATGCAGATTTGCTAAAGTGCTATTTTGGTTCGATATATGTTCTAGTTCTAATACAAAGGGATCGCATTAAACATTGTAAAGCTCTGTGCCGCAAAGGGATGTGGTGAAGCTCAGGAATAGTGTGGACACAAAACTCTCACAGAACTATAAAGGAGGTCACGTCTTAATCGGGATATTCACATAATTTTCACGCTGGCTTCACAGATGTAATGTATGTCTGATTGGAAGGACACATTTGGGTAACAAGATTGTGGAGCTTTACAGTCATTTTCTGAATGTTTGTTCTGCCCATGCTGGTTTATGACGAGACATACAGTAAACCACGATGATTATTTCTAACCTTTGTTTGCAGTTGGAAAGTCTGGAGTTTAATCCTTCTTCTTTCTACAAAATCCACATTTTGAATCATTCTACTCCATGCATTGAATTAGCCGGAGGTCCTTCATCATGCAGTGAGTCAAAAGAAGCAGACTCATCTTCATACGACCTATTTCACAGTACAGATTCATTGGTAATGGTGGACAACGATAAAGCTCTGCTTTGATAACATATTTTTAGGGAATAAAGTGCTCATAAGGGGCGGATTAGTGGAAGTTATTTGTTCTGTATATTTATACTTCCCTTTGTCAGCCACTATTTCTGCATTACAGCGTTGCTGGATTGAATTGCATTGGAAACCCCCAGTGCCGTTCTCTCTAAGGACAGACTCCCCGTGGCAACGTCGTGCATTTCAACCCGTAGTGTCAGACAGCGGTTGACGTATGGAAACCGGGTGGATTTTTAATGCGTTGATGCTTCATCTCAAAGTGACGCCATCCCGCTGAGACTCTGCTGAGATGTGCTGCAGCTTCTTTTGCGAAGTTGTCTTCTGCACGGCAGCACATTCGCTGTGTGACATTGATTGAGCGATGCGGGGAATCAGGCCGTCGCCTGCCCACTTTGTTGGGGAAAAAAAAGAAGGGCACTTAAAGCGCAGCGCTCGCGCTCTGAGAGCTGCGCTCAGAGGGTGTTGAAGAAGGGGGACCTCAACACTTAACAGTATGAGTTAGAAAGTCCAGCGTAGGCTTTTACTGTTGTTTTCATCAGGGGGAGTAATATGGTGATGGCCTATTAAGGTGCATTTGCATTGTACTTGTTTTTCCCCAATAGTGTTACAGATTGCAAAGTGGGATCACAAGTAACTGGGACAGACGTAACACAATACACAAAAACATTTGGCCTTTCGTTAACCCTTTGGTTAATTTGGAGGATGCCATTCCTTTAGGCAATATCTGCTCTCTGAAAGCTTGCTGTCAGCAGATCTTCAGCACATATTTTATTCTTTCTCCTTATTTTATGGTGAAATATTATCTTTGAAGTTCTTCAAAGATAAAAGATAAGGTAATATACACTACTTTTTCAGAACTGATGTTCCTGGGATGTCTATCTCAACGTCTGTGAAGAGCTTTTGTCTCGGGAACGCCTGGATCCACAGAAGAAGAATACGAGATAAAGGGACATCCAGCTGTTTGTGCTAAAGCTGTACCAGATCAAACCATCATGAAATCTGCCCATTACTAGAGTGATTGCACCATGGTACATATATGCTTTGCACTCACACAATAAATTGTTCACTTAAAAAGAAATAGCACTGAAGGCCACATTTCCAAAGTCATATAAACACAAGCAGCTTTTTGTGTTTATCTGCAGCTGAGGCAGATAAGAGCAGTCTTCACACCAGAGCCTTTTTTTTCATTCACATCGCTAACAAATAATACATTATTGTTAACTAAAGGTACACATTGTGTCTTCTCATTCCAGCTTTTCCCATAGCGATTAACTAATAACCATTTACTGGGTATCTACGGGAAGCATTGCAGGCTCCTGTCCACAGACTTGACAATAGATCAGAGAGCGAGAGATTTTGCAGGGTGGAATTATGTGAGTCTGATGTGTTTGAAACCATGTCATCCATGAAAATAAATCACAAACCACACCGAGGCTATAAAGACAACGAAGCTGTTAAATACACTTCAGGAAGTTACTGTGAACTGTATTATAGTAAAAAGTTCTTTACACAATTGGCCTTTGTCGTGTCAAAGTAGTTTCACTCTTTTGCAGACAAATGCGATGCAATTCTACCAAATCTAAAGAACTAAACGCAGGGCTGAGTAGCCAGTCAATACGATCATTTATCGTCTCTCCTTGAGATGAAATCATGATATATAACCAGATCAGAAGCCCAAACAACAAACCGAGGTGAACATTTGATGGCTCAGGGTGGAGGCCTCCTCCCTTCTGCCACACCATCTCCAGCACTGGGAGTCCAGACGTACGCAGCAAACCGACCCTCATTTCACACCCGCCGCATCGAAAATGCTGACTCGCACGTTTTACTACAAGATAAAGGCAGTTTGAACCAGTAAGAGTGTGTGTGTGTGTGTGTGTGTGTGTGTGTGTGTGTCACACGCGTGAAGGTCCTCTTAACTGGCACCGAGAGGCGAAAAAGTCTCGTGGGGAACGCCAGAGCGCCGCGGATAGTTGTCACTTTTTTCACCTGTCATCCAATCCCCCCCCCCCCTTTGCTTTACCCAACACCTGACACCCCCCCCTCCCACACACGGAGGGACCTTCAGATGCCATCGCGCGCCTCACCTCCCCTACGTGTAACCTTTTGCCGCTCTCGGCGGTGTCTCGCTCGCGCAGTTGCCATTTTGAGCCGGGAAGTGAGAGAATGAAATAACGAGAGCCTCCCTCCCCCTTCCACCCTCCCCCCTCCCTACATCAGAACAGTGTGTGCTTACGCCTTGGAAAAAAAGAAGTCAGCCTACCTGCCGTGCCGCTTTGTCAGCCCTCCGCGATCTCCTCCTTCTTGGAATTTACCGCTAATAAGCCTCCTGAGCTGCACAAGAAAGGAGGAGACACATCATCCTTCTATCAACTCATGCAGGAGTCCCACGAGGGAATTGATTGCACTTTGGCGGACAGGGTTGCAAGGTGCAGGCGGGGGTAATCTCGTCTCACAGCTGTTACGTAAACTTTAAAGGATTACAGCAGGAGTAGAGGAAAAGGCTCCTTGTGCACAATGCGGTGTCTGAAAAAGTATTATTTGGGGTTTTTTGCTCTGTCCGAGTGTCGAGGACTTCCTTGGTTTCCTTGTGAATAATACGGGGAATTAGCTCACATAAGAAATAACAATTAGGAGCTCCAAATGAACACTAATTAGAATTAACTTTGAATTCACCCGGCTTGTTACAGACAGAGTCGTGAGCGTACTCGTTGGGAAGTTGGCTCACAGCGTTTTGCAGCTTGCAAAATCCTGATTAACGCAATCAACCTACAGGAGGTGAGAGCCCTCAAGGTCACAGCGATGCATCTTCTGTCACAGCCGTCAGCACCGGAGCGGCAAGCCGATTACCAAGAGGAAATGAAGGCGCAATCAGCTGATGATTGAGAAATGCTGAAAACCTTTGATGACCTCTGACCCACTGCTCATATTTCGTGTCGGTGTGATCTTTAACGACTTTCCTGCACTAGTACCTCTACTTGTGTGTGTGTGTGTGTGTGTGTGTGTGTGTGTGTGTGTGTGTGTGTGTGTTTGTCACAACTCAGACAAATCCATCACAAAACTTGAGCTATTCCAATCGTATTCTTTTCTTTTTCTTTTTCAGTATTGGATACAAGTACGAATCTCTCGGTTATCTTTACATTCAGGGTCTCTAATAATCCTCAGGCCATTTCGAAAAGCTGTGTGGAAACAACAAAATAAAGTTCTAAGTTCACTACAGGCCGTTTTTTGCTCTGTCGATCAGAAGTTGTTGCGCTCCAGAGATTATAGATCAAGTCACCTTCCTCACCGCTGTTTACACTGTCTGCGTCTTCCTAGATTGTCCCATAAATGTGCAAATGCTTCTCTTAATATTCAGACAGATATATACCCAAGTAATAGTTCTTGGGAAGAAACTATGTTCCGGTTGAAATACATGGCCAAGCCAACCTTTTTTGGGGAAACACAACCTCTTCTTCTACCGTTTACCGACAAACTGCAGACATGCAGGCATGAATAGCACCACACCACAACTTCTGACCACACATTCACAACACATTCTTCAGCTGAGTCTATTTGCTGTAACTACTTGATGGAAACGCAACATTTGTAAAGTTTGCTTGAAATCACTGGACAGACAAATACACTTTTTTTGGAATATATAATCTTTTTTCCCCCCAAACCTTTGTTAAGTCGCTGCATTGCAACGACCCTACAGAGGTATTATTCCCACTGCCTGTTGATGTGTAGAACAGCGTGACGAGTGCGGCGAGAAAGTGTGTGATGAGGTCATTGCTCCGTAGGGATAAGACTGGACACAAACTCCACAGGGTGCCATTTGAATGGCATTGCACTGGTGTGCTCCACAGGGTGCCTTTTAAAGGGCGCCCTGTGGAGCACACCAGTGCAATGCACTCCACCACACCTGCTGGACGAATGAGGGGAGGGGAGAGGAAGCAGCAATCCCCTTTTCCCACTCTCTCCTCTCAATGTGTCCTTGACTATGCCCCCCCTCCTCCTGACATACAGCTGCTGAATCGCCAACACATCAAATTGCACCAGGACACTAGGGAAGTCTAAATGTACGTGTGGGACTGAAGCGGTTCGTGGAAAAGAAAGCATTGCCCTTATTGAAACTAACGTGGTTGAATAAAGACAGAAAGGATGAAATGCACATGAGTTAAGAGCAGAGGACGCTTTGATCAGGCCCAGTCTTGATCTTTCTCTTTGCCTCATGGGAGCTCCTAATACATATATCTTCTCAAGTTCAGCTCTCATTTGTCTATGATTATAAAGTCGTCTGTGTGGGTGCTTTGTGTATTATAATCTTTGCTCACCCATCTGCCTGCAGAGGGATTGAACCACTTATTTGGATGATGACGTTCTTATTGGACGCCGTAGTTAAGCTATCTGTTTGTGTCATTTCAGATAAGTCATGGATGCACACCCCGGAAGCCCTGGCCAAGCACTACATACCCTACAACGTCAAGGTACGTTCCACCCATCAGACGTTGCAGCGCTCCGTGATCGTTAGCCCAGCAGAGGGTTTTGTGTAGCTGTAAAGCGGCACTGAGAGAGGCTGATGAGTTCAAGAGAACTCACAGTCCTTTTCCATTGGCTCGCCCTCTGTCAGGTCTGTCACACCCACGCCTCTCAGCGCAGGCGTCCCATGGTACATTTCTCCTTAGACAACCAGGTCTTTCCCTGCAGCGAGGACAGCAGCTCTCCGTCCGCGTGACAGTCCAGATAATTAGCATGGCACCTGATCGAGGCAACACCCTCTACCCTTTTACATCAGCGTCTGTGAGCGTCGGATGTTTTAAAAGTCTATAATTAAAGTATCCTGCAAGACACAGCTTGAAGGAGGGCTCTCTAACCTGGGGAGCCATCTCCTGTCAAACAGAGTTTTCTGCCTCATTTTGCCTTTTGAGTCAGCCGAGATCCCCAGCTTCAGAAATGTCCTGATGGATTGGAGGTGGAGCTCCAAAACCACTGCATCCTCCAAAGAGCCGTAGCTCCTTTACTTCAAAGAAACAACGGACTTTTCTATGATATCAAAGCGTATTGTCAGTTCCCGTGCTGTCTGCATATCGTCTGTCTTTGCGGATGAGTTGCCTGTCTCGCTGAATTTGCTGAGATCAGGGCACACCACTCATCGCTCACGGGACTGGGAGGGATGATTCAGAGACTAATCTCCCCGCGTTGCAGCATTCAGAATGGTTGAAAATGAGCTCTGTTCGGTAATTAACTGCACAGTATTTCAGCCAATTATATCAGAGAAGGATCTCACAACAAAAGTATATTATTTGACCCATTAAGTCAATAAGGTCATAAAACGGCCGTGCGTTAATTATTTTGATGTGATGGCAGTATTGAATTATCTGCAATGTTGTCTGCTTCTCTTGGACCTGAAGGTTTTCCTCCAGAAAGGAGAAAAATTTGATTTGTGACATGAATCATAGTAGAAAGCCTGGAGCTTCTATTGAGAACACTGAGGTCAGGTCCTCCCTAACCGATGATCTGCAGAGAAGCACATACAGGGCGGCTAGTTATTATAAGTTATTCATGGTATCTGTTTGTTTGACTTTGACTAGGTCCAGGCCCTTAGGAAAATGACAGCTATAAAGGATTTAGTATTTGGAAACCACAACTTTGGTTGTAAAAACAAGATCAAGATCCTAATTCTGAGAAATAACAGCATTTTACTACTGATAGTTTTCTCATTTATTCAACAAATATCTTAATCCCAAAAATGATTCAGTTTTGACAACCAACAATCCGGAGATATTTTACAAAAGAAAGAAAACTGATAACGGCATCTGGGCTAAAAAAAACTTAGACAACCAAAGTTCTTCTAGGAAGATTAATTGACAAGTAGTTTCAGCAAAAGATTATACGCTTAATTATACAGGTCCGTAATTAAAAATAATCTAGGAGGTTTCATGTGAAGAATGAGTGTTTTTTTGGGGGGAAATTAAAGCTGAAGTTCTGAAACTCCTTTTTTTAGTGATTAATGGCTGTTATTGATTTCCAAATAAAGACTGAAGGAACAGCTCGATTTTAAATGAAACATTTTGATTAAACTGTTAACTGATGTGGAATGAATTGGATCAGGATTTGGGCAACTTGGACACATTTCTGCAACGTTTATGTGATACATTTATGCCGGAGTTGCAACAATTTGTGAATTGATTCGTCAATTGATGGACGGAAAATCCATTTGCAACTATTTTGAAAACTGACCACTGAGTTTGAGTCAATTCTTTAAATATACAATCATTCCCAGGTCGAATGGGAAGGTTTGGACTAGCTGATGGTTTAATAAAAATGTTGCTGACTTCCTGCTGACCTTTGTGATCAACAAGTGTTATTGGCCGCACCACTGCGGGAGGGGAGAAAACAACGAGGTCTCCAAAGCCTGTGAGACGAGTGAGTCTTAACGTCAAACATACCGCACTGGGGGTGCAGTTTATATCGCACATGACACAGATCCTGCCTGTTCCAGAATTGTGTCAAAGGAATGATGGAACCTTTCGGTCAGGAGGAGCGAGCTGTGCAGACTAAGCGGTGGAACTCTCTGGGGAGCGTTTTCACTCATCACTGTGTCATCTCAATTTGGGTTTTTTTCCAGACCTGCCAGGAGAAGGACGTATTGGAGTTTGCATTTATTATTAGCTTTGCTTTTGCATTTGAGGGTGCACAGTCCCCGTTAAGCGTAACGCGTGAATAGTCGCTGCGGGGAATGAGGGTCGGGGTTTGGTCGTCCTGCAGCCGTCTGCACCAGTTGATGGATGAGCCTCCGAGCTCGGTTTACCTTCCCGGTCACGAGCCCAGAATTCGCTGGTGGGGAACAAGTGATTCCCCCTTCTGTTCCATCTGTCAGTGGCGCTTCCAGACACGGCCTTAAGTATGCGGCGTGCATTAGTCAAACCGGTCTGTATCTATTCTCTTTGTAAATTGACGGTTTGATATTGAAACGTTTTTGTTTTTTTAAAGAAGACATTATCATACATACCTGTCCCGAAATAAAAAGGAAACTATGATGCACTTGCTGAATCCCTGCTCTGGAACTGGTGAACTCATCAAACTGTCAAGCCAGAAAGTGATGATCAAATAAGAATCAATATTCTGTTCATGCATTCAAGTAAAAAATGTGGTTTGCTTCGGCAAAACATAAACCTAAGATTTGTTTAAGAAGCGATTTGGGATGAGACATTGCCAAAGCTGTAACCAGATCTGGATTCACGTTGGATCTTGTCTGACAGTTTGATCGTGAGTTCACGTGATTGTGATTGACGGCAGTGATTTGTTGCTTTGCTTCGGGGTCGGTGGAATCACACACAACCCTTAGGAGCACAAACAGGAGGCAGAAGAACTCAATGTTTTCCCACATTATTAAGGACAACATCACAAAATATGCTTAATGGTTATTTTTGGATTAAAGTAACTAATTGAACCTGAATATGCACATAAAAATACATACCTGGGTATTACATAAGTAAATACATAATCATTTATACGCAAACTATTATTAAAACATTTTTTTTTTCTTATTTCTTTAACGTTAGCCATAACACACACCTTTGCAAAAATCCCGGAAATAATTTCCAATTTCAATAAATGGCCTAAACTGTCAATTGCTTATAGGAATGAGCATCAACCCACGTATAATAATAATAATTTGCCTGCAGGATTAAATGGACATTAGCAAAGCCTAAAACATACACAACCTCCCTTGGACTCTGTTGTCCAAACTACCCGTGGACGCCGGGTTCCAGAGGGAGACATTGTTGTCTTGTCCCTCCCAAGCTTTAAGGGGCCGACACCAGTTCATGAAGTCTGATATTGGAACAAGTACACATTAGGCTCAGGAGGCACTGAAGCGGTGTGTGTGACTGGAACAATTACTGCTGCTGCCGGACAGAAAACGTCCGGGCTCCAAGGAGAAGGGCTCCATCTGTTGGAGAACAGCTGACTCACCGCTCCACCCGATCCGTTCATCTTTTTCCATTTGAGTGCATGCATTTCAGCACCATAGCAAGTCATATTTGTGTAACGTGGTCATTTATGTCTGGAGCATGCAAGCACCTGGTATGTACAGGAGGTATTCATACAAATGTCAGTCAAATGATTGGAATGCTCAGGCAGAGGTCCTTATTCCTTATTCCTTAGAGGTCCTTATTCAGGCTTGTAAGATCTGCTATTGTACATCTTATGCCTGAAGGAATTCTACTGGCCTTATAAATCATTAATCAGCAATTATCACAAGGAACACAAAGACAGAGGGGATTACAGGGGATATTAGTGGGAAAAGAAAATAGGAAACACAAATATATGATCATTTGTGTTCAAATGTTTAGAGACTGCTGGTAGCTCCTCCTCCACCTATTTTGGAGGATTTTTTTTGCAGTTGACATTGCATTTCTCAGTATCTACTGTCTTATCTCTCTGTTTCTCGCTGTACTGGTCCAAAGTCTGGGTCTGTGTGTGTGTGTGTGTGTGTGTGTCAGAATGAAGCACAATGCTGCTCCTCGTACGAAGAGAGAAAAAGAGGCGGTTTGAGGTCTCACTCCGGAAGTTCTAAAGTACCGATAGCAGAACCCTTCACTGATCCTCTGGGTATTTACTTCTGTCTTATCAGTTGCTGAGTGAACACAATCAAAGTCTTTGACATTCAAGGAGAGTCTGGCAGCGTGAACACAAATCCCTGAGGAACAAGTTCACAAAAGAACTGGCTGAGAAAAGGCAGAGCTGGGAGGTCAGATGGAAGTCTTGGCAATCAAACCTCCAAGATCTGGACGGAAAGTTCAGGGTGGAGCTGGCCAAGAATGAAGAGTGGCAAACAAAAGCCAAAATAGTTGGAGAAGGAGAAGGCCGATCCGGGGGACCTTCGTTCTTAAAATGAAGAAGAAAAGGAGAGGCTTCTTGTTTCCCAAGATGATGGCAACAGAAACCCGGGGAGAGGGGGAGGGACTGCTGGCTGTTCATCACAGGTTGCACAACAGTCGGTCCCCCTTCCTCCCCCTTCCCTTCTCCGCTCTCCTTCCGCCAGACCACTCACCCCCCTCAAACAACCAAGTTTTTAGGGTTTAACTGTACCAATGACAGATTTTTTTCTTTTTTTTATATAAAGATGCAAAGCCCAAGTACACCACCAATGACATTCAATCACATCTGCATTCCCGTTGCAAAGTCTTATCGAAGGTCCGGAGCAGCGAGCCTCATTTCCAGTTTTTAGACCCTCGCTGGATGGTAAAGTTTAGAATCGGGAAACCCTCAGGGCTCCCAGGGAAACGGAGCGGTGTACATGATGTTTCATGATCTTTGTTAAACATGAACACCCCGATAGTCCACTCCGCATTCAGCCAAATGCTTTTGTCATTGTTGAATACTCAAAATGCACTCTAAACATACACAAATGAAAGAACATGTTGATCTATTTTATTTCCGTTTAAATAATCCTATTGGGGTTTTTGTGACTGTATAAATGAGGTCGCTCTTAGGAAAAAAACTCTTACTCACCATATTATTTGGAATCATCTTTTTACACAACCTGGTTTATTGGGAATGGGTGATGATTGCTAATTCTAAGAAGTGTTCATGTTTACCATTAAAAGCACTTTTTATCAGGGTCAGGACATTTCCAGACATTGTCCTTCATCCCAGTGACCAAGCAGAAAACGTCCTGAAACCGAATGCTCATTTTCAAATACATGGTGTTCCTCTGCAAAGAACAAGCTGTTAGTGCCTTGACTTAATGCTGGAGAACAGAGGAAGATAGGACGGCCTGTAGACGCTGCTCTAGATAATGTCTCAGTAACCTCCCTTCTGATCTCATTAACGTCCCTGTGCTGTGAGTCCAACGTGCAACAATCTAGAAATCAGTGTATGTTTTAAAAGCATTCTACAAATTCTTTTGTATATTATTCTGTGTATATACGGTACTTGCATACATGCACTGTTTTTTGTACTCATGTTAAATACTAAACTGCATATAATTGTCTCAGTACCTTTTTAGTAAAAGAATATTTGTAAATAACCTAATTTCTATTCTTTCTTGGATCCCTTTTATATCCTCTATAATGCACCAAACTCCTACTTCTATGAAGCCTACTGTGTGTACTTGTTGTGTTGCTGTCGTATCACAGTGTGCCTCTTTGGTTCTCTTTGCAGTTCCTCGGAAACACAGAAGTTGAAACCCCAAAAGGCACAGAAGTTGTGAAGGATGCAGTCAGAAAGCTGAAGGTAAAGCCGGTCCTCTGAGTGAGCTGTAGCCTGCAGCACAACGGAGAGCTGTTGACTGACCGGATTGGTCAGGAGAGTCTGAGCCGGAGGGGATGGGAGGGGGGGGGAGAGTGACAGCCACTTCCCTCCCTCATCAGTCACCGAGCAAGGTGCCCTTGTAGTTTTTCAGCTCCCGAGTGTGCATGCCTATAACTGCTGCATGCGCACAGCAGTTTGCTCGTCGCGACCTTCCCGCCGGGCGGATGCAGGGTTCAATAGAAGGGATATTTACCTGGCGGGACAGCTGTCGGTTCCTCAACTTAAGTCCTTCAGCCGGGATATTTTCTATCGATGAATTCCAACACAGTGTTTCCGCTAAGCACTTATTCTCAAGTGTGGGTGTTTTAATGAAGCGCCACGGCCTTTATTTTTGCATAGCTATAACCAATCTGCATATTAATGGGGATAAATTAATAAGTTTCACTCATTTACATACAGGTTTGCTGTAATATTGTTTCCTAATTAATCCATTGATCAAAGCAAGTCATATATTAGTAATTTTTTTATTACTTTATGTAAAGTGAAAGGTGTCACTAACTCACAAAGAATGTTAATTTAAATAGGCAGCTATTTGCTGAAACAGCTCAAGTGGGCATATGATTTAAGTTATTGCATTTAAAACATTTCCAACCTGTATTCATCCAGCCTGATCTCCAAAACCTGTTTGTAAAAATGTACACGAAAATCTCGAACATACAAATTCGTAGTGATACATACTAAATAAATACGGACTGCAACCGATGACGTCACCCTATTCAAAGTGAATGGGGACCTGCACCCCGTAAACACACTTTGTGAAGTCTAAATAAACGTGTTATGGTTGCATTTTTAACGAGAAATCAATGTTAAATTGTAAGAATACAATACTAACCCTAACCCCCTTCAAAAAATCCAACATGGCGGAGAGACGTTCACTCAAGAATCCAACATGAAAAGAAAAAAACGTCTCTTTTTACTGAATGTCCCAGCGTCTTTGGCTGTCCGTGTGCCATTTGGTGTTTGGCAGGTCGGGTCCATTACTCATCAACAGTAGCCTCGGGTACATCTTTATCTCCACACCTGCTGTCGTCAAAACCTTCCAATATTGCACTGAATGTTGAAGTAAGCTACCATACTTGGGTCACATAAACTCTTGATAGTGATAAAGACCGATACGACAATAACCAGTGAGGTTCACATAAACATAATAGTCCATTTGGATATTGCAAATGAGGCCGTATTCCAAATGTAGCATGTTCAGTTTAAGAAGAAGGATTTGTTGGTGTTATTTGGGGTTTTGGAGCATCCTTTGGACACGTATACATCGTGTTTGGAATGAGTTTCTATTGTGGTTTTCCCCGCAGTTTTCGACACACAGCCCATTGCCTGTTTGGAGCTAACCCAGCTCTGCACTACTCGCACCAACTAACCAGCAGGTTCATTTCTGGCTGTTGCAGCAGCAGAACACATTTCACCTCACGGAAAGCACCTAGCCAATATACTCATTTTAAGTGTGAAAGGAAAAGCATAGCGCACACTTTTGGTAGCCGGCCCTTTCTTGTTGGTCGCTATAACACGATTTGCATTGCATGCACTCAATCATATGTCATTAGGTATCTAGTTACCCTATGAACTTTAAGGAAATTGTTAAGAAAAGCATTGTTTTTTTTGTTTGTTGCTGCTATTGGTTTTCCTTTCTTTACTATTTCTAATAGAGCTGTCACCACCCACCTAAGACTGGACTCCTTTCCCACAGCTTCTTGGTAATGTGGCTGTGCTCTCTGCCTCTCACTGCCAGGAGTTAAACTTGTGAGGACACTTGTAGGGGAGCACTGTTTTCCCAAACCCCTACCACTGTTGTTAAATTACATTTGATCTTAAAAGCCTGTTTGGAGACCCAGGCTCCATGGTTACTCCCCCAGATACACTGGCAATTAGAACAGGCTTAGTAATCGTTTCCAAAGATCATTCAAGGAGAACGGAGACAGCCCTGCAAGGCATGTCTCAGAGGTTTAGGGTCAAATGCTGTAGTCTCCTCATCAGTTAAGATACGTTCATGTGGGATTTTACTAAAGCAAAACAAATCTGCTCGAAAAACACACCGGCTTTTCTTTTCCCAGTTGCCCAACTTGGGGCCTACAGACATATTCTTGTCTGCAGGCCCCCCAAAAAATGCAAAAAGCCTAACTCAAGGTCTTACAAAGAGTGCATCCTTTTACTTTAAGCCTTAAAGTGCCATCGTGTTGAGAGACGCTAGCGCTTTTACTAAACAAGGGACCTTGTTGACTTAATTTAGAAAATCAACCTCACCTCCTCTACTAAGCCTTTAATGCAATCTGTAACCAAAAACACCACGTTTCATGGTGGAGGAGTGGTAATCCCACTGTACCCCAGCTGCTCACAAACGGCGTCTAATGAATGCAAATGTCGCTCTGTCGCCTGGAGAATGTGTGCTTAGGTTATTGATTGCAAGCACATGACGTGCATAACTTTCTGAGGTGAGAATGTTGTCTTTTCAGCTTGTTCCGCTTAACCGCATCGGCCAGAGAACACGCCGGTACTGACGTGTACAACAGGCTCCCATAGTTCTATTGCTGTGTATCATTCTTTCTTCCTTGTAAAAATGGATGCATTAGTAATGTGCACTGACCCAATCTTTCCCTTTTGTCGTTGGAAGTTTCAGAGACACATCAAGAAGTCAGAGGGACTGAAGACCCCTAAAGTGGAATTACAGATCTCCATTTATGGCGTGAAGATATTAGATCTCAAGACAAAAGTGAGTCAGCGAGACAGAAGAGATCCGTATACAACGTGACGCCCATAAATAGTGAATGCACCGTCTTTGTTTTCCAGGATGTGCAGCATAACTGTCAGTTGCACCGGATATCCTTCTGTGCGGATGACAAAACTGATAAAAGGATATTTACTTTCATCTGCAAAGACTCGGAGTCCAACAAACACCTCTGCTTTGTGTTTGACAGTGAAAAGTGTGTAAGTGCCTTCAGCTTCCTTGTGTTTACGGTGAAAGAAGAACGCAGAATCACTGAGAATGTTTGACGCTTTAGTAATGTGTTGTGGTTAAAGCACCCGTGATCAATTCCTATAAGAGGCACTGAGCTATTCACTGTGAGCGAGTCTTGTTGCTGCCCTCCTGCAGGCAGAGGAGATAACTCTCACAATCGGTCAGGCTTTCGACTTGGCCTACAAGAAGTTCCTGGAGTCTGGAGGCAAAGACGTGGAAACCAGGAAACAGATCGGAACCCTGCAGAAAAGGGTACGACTCGCGCCTACTGGGGTCCTTTAATTCACTTAAAACACTTGATTTTCATATTCATTAATGCAAATCGTATTTCTATTGATTGGTTGGAGTCATGTGGTGTGGACAATTAAGCTGCATTGTGTAAATGTATGTCATTATATGCAAGTGAACGAGCTCTGCTGTAACAGACATGAACTGTAACTCGCCCGGTGGTTTTGTTTGAATGGCTCTAAAAACGACCAACGGAACAACTATTTTAAGACTTGCAAATAGGGCAAGTCTTAATAAATATAATGGACACTATTTTACGAGAGACCAAGAGCAGTAGACCACAGAAACGCTGTCAATCTTGACAGAATTCATGCTTTGCCTTTCATGCAGATTCAAGAGCTGGAAACAGAAAACTCTGAGCTTAAGCAACAGCTTCAAGACCTTGAGGAGCAGCTGATGATATCTCATGTTTCACCAGTGAGGACAAACACACACACACACACACCCCCCCCGCTTCAGTTTACAGATTGGACAAAATCTACATTCTGCACGTTAAAGGTCTATGTAACTTTTGTTTGAATAAAGTGAAAGTTGCATGAACTAGCATTGAAGCTATTCACAAGGTGAACTGAATTATGTTTCATTGTCTACGAATATAATATTTTATTTATTACTATCACTGTTCCTCCTTAGAAGATTGGGGTGATTCCCATATTAGAAGTTCCTTGAGGTGCATTGTCTGCAGAGAGAATGCAACTTCTCCCTGAAGTCATTTGAGATCCAAATGTTCAGCCACATGTACACAATCACAGCCATCTTTTGCTGACGAAAGTTAAGCGATTTTATGCTTCATCTGAAGATGTACTACTTGGTGAAGACTCGGCCTATGCCGCGTCTGGCGCGAAGCAATTACACACCTGATTGGTCTGATTAGCTACGTGCCACATTGTGCATGTTATTGAGGGCTTCCTACGAGAGCCCCTCCCTCTCTAGAAGCCTCCATCGATGTCGCCGCTCCTCTCTGGTCACTTTCTCACTGCGATCCCTCTTTTCAGCCGCTGCACATAAACGCGGCGAACGAGGCGTACATGCTGCAGAGGCCCTCGTCTCTCTTCTGGTGCCACAGCATCGCGTCGCTCTCCTGCCTGGAGATCTCCTCTCTCACGCTCACGCCCATGAGCTCGCCGGAGTCCAACTTGTCGAGCGGGCTACTAACTCCTCCGCCTGCCAAACCTGCTCTGCTTCCCCCTAAGCCTCCCGAGGGATGCAGCATCCCGCGGCCTCGCGTATGCTCCTTCCTACTTTCTGCTCTGTGCTTCGTCGCTGTCCCTGCTGCTCTTTCACCTTCTTTCGTTTTTCTTTTTTTTCCTAATCCTTTCTCTCTTTTTGCTTTTGTACGAAAGACCTAATAATGATCTGTGTGTGAGGGTACAGCAGTGTGACCTTGACTTAACCATATACCCGCGGCTTTACATACAGGCAGGGAGCAACTCCATGAAACCAAAGTCTACGGACGTTTTCGACATGGTTCCCTTCTCCCCTGTGACAGCGCTGGTTCCCACAATGGCCAGTAACGGCTGCCCACCACCACCACCGACCACTTTACCCCCAGACATGAGTGAGTGCCAGCTTCCAATCGTGAGATTTTAACATCCGTCGCATGATACAAAAGAGGCTTGAATTCCCCGTCCAGTGGTCAATCTGCTGTCTGTGTTTGCAGGTAAAGACCTGTTTGGTGCAGAGCCGTTTGATCCGTTCACCTGCGGCTCTGCTGACTTCCCTCCGGATATTCAGTCCAAGCTGGACGAGATGCAAGTGAGTGAACACCGAGCTTTTTCCAGAACTGCAGGGAGGCGGGTTCAACAGTGCTGTCCCGTCCGTCTTTATTAACTGCATCCGCCCCTTTTTGAAGTTTCAAATTTCCCCATGTTCATGTGGGCAAACATGAATAGTGTTCAAAGAGATGAAGTTTGACATACAGAAAAAACACATTTGGGGGATCACGTCCTATAACTGAGCACGTAAAGGTTTCAAATGAAATCCTCAGCTGATTCCGTAATTAATACCAAATATCATTTGAGGTATCAGGGACATGGAACCAGTTAAACATTAATTTAGAAATGCATTAGCAAAAAGTCATAATGTGTATTACTTCATTCTGTCTCTATGTTCCCTATTCCCATTTCAAGGGAGTGGACAAATTGCAATGGTCTCAGCATTCGGTGACAACGTTTTCATGTTACAATTGATTATTTTACAATACGTCTGGTCTGAGTAATAGATTAGTTTTATTCGCTTTTGACGCTTAATTGGACATCGTTGTGTGGAACAATGAAAAAGTCACACACCAGCTTTTCATCAGATTCCTTTGTGCTTCTTTTATGTTCTACTGCTCCCAATATTGTCAGAATCAAATCTGTTTGATGAGCAGAAGTCTGAAAACCACTGCGTGAGTTGGTGTCAATAGGTCAAATACAAAAACATTACAAATACAGTCAATGGCGTTCGCACAGCAATCACATTCTTTGTGAGTCCACGTAAAGGTTTAGGATCGCTGTATGATGAGAAAACCTCCGTGACTCAGTGTAATGAACTTATTGCCAGTAGGAGGCAGCGCCGCACTGGCACGTCTGCGGGTTTTTATTTAGTGCACTTAACATTTCCTTCAATGTCTTCCTCTTCTTCACTATTAACAAGTGAATGCATCTCTTGTCCTTTCCACTTGTAGCGTCAGAGATGGTTTGTACTCTTTGCTCTGCTTCGACGTCTGTGTGGTTGTGTCTTTGTCTCGCATGCCTGTGGAGGACGTTGAATGCTCCCACACTCTGCGTGGTGTAATTTATCTCTTCCATTGTCCCCAGAATGTTTCTCTTTGTCCCAGTAGAGATTTAGTACAGGGCCTCAAGCCTCATTGCCTTTAATTAGTAGCTTGTTTTTTTCCTTCGTTAATGAGCTGCTTAAGCCAGACTGAGGCTTATGAGTTCATATGAGTAAAAAAACGTATGTTGATTTTCAGCGAATGATCGCTCCGAAGTTTTCTATAGCTTTTGGAATAGATATCAAACTCTATCAAGTGTTGGTGCTATATTACCATAATTACAAGTACATTTTGAAGAGATAAAAAAATAGCTTAGTTCCGCCGATGCTTCGCTCATTAGCTGCATGCCTCATTGTTTCTGCTGAGATTATGATGCTGCACACATAGCATGTCTAAACGCACGGGGCGACAACAGTCGCCTAATCTCCGTTTCGTGCCGTATTTCACCCTTTCACCCTCGGTGGTTTAGAGACATCCCATCGCATGCAATGTGAACATGAATCCGACTTCCTGTTGACGTGTACCCCCACAGAGACCAGTGTCGCTGTGCGTGGGCACTGGATGTCACAGCTGTTCTCTGGCTTGTCTTCCAGGAGGGGTTCAAAATGGGACTGACCTTAGAGGGCACCGTCTTCACTCTGGACCCGCTAGACAGTCGCTGCTGATGCCATGAAGATGCTCTTTGTTGCGTACTTTTAACTCGTTTGTATGAAGAAGTGCCAAAATCCACTCCACTGTTGAGTCAAGATGTCGCGGTTTTCATCTTGAGGTTTATATGCATTTGCATTTAGATTGTTTTTATTTGGAATATTTCAAAGTAGACTCGGACCCATTACAGAAAATAACTATTTTTGTAAAAAAAAAAAGAAGCGAGAGGAGTACTTTGCTTGCACAGGCAATGGGTGATGTAAATAGTTGAATATGTCCAATGTACACTCTGTGACAGAATTTTCATATGAAACGATGTGTGTGTATGCACTATATTGTTGTATTGTTAACACATTCCTGTTTGTATGAGTACAAGCTGGTGGAGAAAATTAATGGCATCTGTATCATTAAACAGCTTTCCCATAACAACTCATTATTTTACTCAACATTAAATAGTTAATCAATCCAGTTTATGTTTTAAGGCTTCGCGATCTTGAGTTATATTTTTTTGTCCTGTATTTTACAGGTTTGAGTTGCCATTTCAGTATTTACTTTATTTTTTAATTGTTTTTATTTTAGTCTCCTCTTCCCTTGCACCAGAAGTCACTTTTTTTGGACAGCCTCTGTCTATACACAGTGCTTTTCCATTATTTTTGCTTTTGGTTGCATTGACTTTGCTGTTGCTACAGATATTAAAGAAAATCTTACAAGCGCACCTCGTTGATTTCATCTGTGTCACAGTTTTTAATGTTTTAAATTGTTCTCTTTATTCAAGGATTTCCTTAATACTCATTCTGTCAGCATAGTTCTATGGATGCCATTCTCGGTCCATCAGCCCAACACGTTGGTACAGATTAAGAACTCAATGGTCATAACAACCTTCTTCAGGCAGTCATGGTTCCCATTGGATAAAGTGATCCCACCACAACCAGCAGGTCTAATATTCCCTTGTTTAGTCAAGTAGCAATGTTGGCTGGATTGATTGGCACAATATATTGTTCACATATTCTTGTTTCCCAGAGGATGAATGCCATATTTGACCCAATATGAGACCCAATAAGTCCAAAAGTAATAGTATACTCATCAAATGCAGCTTTGCGTTCAGGGATAATCAAGAAGTTCACTGTGCATCTTAAGACAATATTATAATGATGGTGACAAACGTTGCAAACATCACATAACTAATTACTCCCATCAGCCTCGGCTCCACTCTGTGTGCAGTGCTAATAAGCAAATAATGATGCTAATGGTAACCATTAGTGTACACCATCCAATCCTTTGTGATCAGTTCTCATTGGCTAATATTAGCTTGCTAGCACTAAACCAAGATGGCCGACACGGCAAAAAGTATCTGCCATATGAAGATATCAGCACTGTCATTGGAACCATGTAACCATGCTGATGTGTTATAGTTGCCTGCTACTATGGTTCTTAAACTTGTTATAGACACCTTTGTGGTATTTAATGTTGAGTAAATTTCAGTAAGTTAAGTTACTGGAAGTCAACTCTGTAGTTGTCCTACAGTACCAGTCAATGGTTTGGACACACGTTCTCATTCGATTCAATGATCTGGTCTGACATCCTCATCTTTCTTTCCTTCATCCGGATTCTGCCAGTGGGACGTTTGTTTGACACCCCTGCCCTGGGGGCTCATATGATTGTATTATGGGACAAAGGACCAAATGAATTCATCTCAAACAAAGACAGGCCGAAAGAAGTATTTTCAATATTTATTTTCAAGGTTGAAAGGCATCCGCTTGCGGTGTGGAAAGCCTCCTCCTCCTCTTCTTCTTGCTCCTCATCTGTAACTCGAGAGCAAGCAGGCAGTCCAGCCTTGCAAATGTTACAAATCTATAATAAATATACTAAAATATGGTCGCAATAGAATAACTTTATCAATCAACAAGACAGCTTACATAAGAAACAACTGTGGACATTACATTAAACACATACATGCTTTTTTTAAACTACAATTAACTTTAACAAATGAATCTGTGTGCGAAATGACAAGCTTGAAGGACCCAAATATACCTAAATCAATATGACAAGAGCTTTGGGGGGATCAACAAGCAGTTTGTTTAATTTGTTGCATAGCAGGAAATACAAAGCAAACAGGCACTCACACCCACCTTATCCTGGAATACTGATTATAAAAAGGATTTCAAGAGCATACAAGTCCAGGATAGTGAAAATGGGGAACTAGCATGCATAAAATAGAATATTCTCTCTCTACCTACTACCGTGAGATACTGAAACCGAAGAGAAAAAAATCAAAATGAAAGTGTTTACAAATCACCACACACCACTCACGCGACACCTCATTCACATCTCCATCGTTGACGGAAAGATCTTTATTGGAATCCCCACACCTTGCCCCGCACCGTGCAGCCGGGAGGCGTGCACAAGGATCACACTACTTACAAAACAGCACCTGTGAAAGAAGATTTACATGTAGTGTCCCAGTTTTCGGTGACGAGGTAGCTAACACTGAGGAATCGACAGTCTGAATGGGTCTTTAATGTTCCACGTGGTCGGCACAGAGTTGGGAATAACTGGATACAGACATTGGTTCATCGAAACTGTGTAATTCCTACGGTGGGTGAATGCATCGTCGGCTGAATTTGTTTCCTCAATAGCACCACAATGTTGTTGTTTATGCAAAAAATATGTAAACAAAAATGAGCAGACAAGTCTGTAAAAAATACTAGTGGAGGGACAGTTACCAAAACTTCAGTGGGATTTATCTGGGCCCATAGACAGCAGTTATAATTACAATTTTAGAGCTTTAATATTCATAAATCTTTGGAAATAATGTTTCGTAAAATTAAAAAGAAATAATAATTTGGACCAAACTTCACCGTAGTGAGCCTCGAAATGCGTCACGCTTGGTGTCAAACATACACAAGAAAACAGGAATGATTCTGATTATTACCAATTGTTTTAAGTAAATTCCAAACATTCGTTCTAACTGACAAATCTTTCATGTCTAGAAGTGGGTGGAAAGGCACAATAAATATCTTGCCACAGTGCCAGAATAGTCCTCAGTACTCGTATGTACAATGTGGCTGATCGTGTCAGCTGTCAGTTCAATAGTCTCAGGATTCTCCTCGACCCATCCCCGCTGACAATTCTACAAGAAGCACACAGGCCCGATATCGATGCCGAACTCTTGATCTGGGCCGCCAATGTCCACAGGTGCCATATCCACAATAGGAAGTCTTGCAGTTTTCTGTGTCCTGTACTCAAACACCGTCTTGCCCCAGTTGCCGTTTGCTTGCTGCAAAAGATCAACAAACGAGTTCAGTGCCTGCTGCAAACATAATCTTTCTCTGCATGATGCACAATAGATTCTCAATACAAGCAGTATTTTATTTATGTGTTCTGGATAGTGCCGTGCTTTGAGATACTCTGCATCAATAAACCTCATTAAAAGACCAAAACAACAATGGATTGATTGTCTGTGCATCCAAGGCCCGATATACCTTACACAGAACTGCTGCCGAAACAACTCGCTCTATGGCTGAATAATCCTGCTGAAGCTTTACATGATTTTTTCGCCACTAGGTGGCAGAAAATCAAGCTTTACACACCTCACCTTTTTAACTTTAATAATAATAATTCAGCATGCACGACAACACAATTCTTACTTATTACTTTGGAACTATGTATATTACTATGTAAAAAAAAATGCACATTTAGAAGCACTGCACTAGAAACAGTCAATGAAACGACAAAATGTGATTATAACATTTTAACGCTCGCCTTAGACGGTTATAGACTAGTGTAGAATAGTTGATCTACAAAATGGATACATGACAAGGTATGAGCCCAATAAGTTGTGAACGATTAACTCACATGACGGACAGGCAGTTTCCACTTGAGCTGATTTACCCTGGTTTGTGCAAAGCAAACCAATGGGCATTCTGATTCGGTACAACGTGCCGTCAATCACACAGACCTTTGGTCCAGTAAGATGTTTGTCAGTATACTGTGGTTTCGGAATAATAATAATAGCGGGCGGTCCAACAACGTGAAGTAACTGCGCAAAACGTATCCTATCCGCCTTCTTTTAAAACTACACCAGGCATGTTTATTTGTGCCAAACCAGTAGAGGAATCCGTGCCTGAATATCAAAAGCAGGCTTCAAATCCACTCAACAATCAATGGAAACATAACTATTATTGGTTTTGGTCATTTCATGGAATTTGTTGATCACTAGCAATACATAATATTGTGTCCCTGGAGTTAGTAATAAATGAATATGTAAGAAAGAGCAAAGCCACGGTGGATGTGTGAAAACGTACTGCGCAGGTGTCCTCCACCACTGTGTATCTGAAGCGGTTGTTTCCCTCTGCTTTGAGCTCCAGGTCGTTGGAGCCCTTCAGGATTACAGCTTTCTTATAGTTGCCCATCTTCTCATCCTTATAGCCCACAGAGTTCTTGCAGTTGTAGGTGATGGTCTGAGATGCCTCTTTGGAGAGCAGGCGGATGAAAGTCATCTGCACTGTCACAGAGTTGGCCGGTTGATCTTTGTTGCCGTAAGTGAACTAAAGGAGCAAATGGGAAGTCAATGCAGAGCCTCACAAAAATTCACCAATAAAGCTTATTTCACTACATTTAACCAACATTCTGTCAGTTCTGCACCCTTTTCAGCCTCTTTCTGTAGGTGCTAATTTAAAAAAAAAGAAACGTCAAACTGTAGCTGCTCACGTGTGTTCCACGGTTGATGTCGGCTCCGAACCACACAGGTTTGTTCCTTGAGGAGCTCCACCACACTTTGCGAGGTATGGTGGGAGGGTTTGCAGAGATGCACGTCTCTCCGGTATCCATGTTGCAGTGCACTTTGATGGCGTCCTCCACGCTGCCTTGGTTTGGATCCACCCAGTACTCCCCTACACAACAGAGTAATCAGGAACTCTGGACATGTAGCTTTTGACAACACTGTTTATTCATTTTACAGCTGCAACAGCTGCGACAATAAGTCAGTTTCTAGTTTGGTGTCATGCCCCAACAGTATTTCTGTTAAAGAAACACGCTGATGGACCGGATACATATATGCTAAAACATTCACTGACACTCACCACTCTTCTTCATGGGGTAGCACCTCTTCAGGTCGTCACAGGTCCTGGCAGGGTGTTTCTTGCTGCCGTCGGGGCTCTTCATGTTGTTGATCTGGCTGCTGAGGGCCTTCAAGGTGGCCTGGACGCTGGGGTCCACGGCCACTACGGCGGAGGAGTTGCTGCTGGGGAAAGCCTCGTCCTCGTTGAACTCAGGAGGGGGAGGTGGACCGGAGTCGTAATCCGGAGAGCCAAAGAGGTCGTCCATTGCAGCCACGGGACGTCCCGGGGGACCAGGTGGGCCTGCGGGTCCATCTTCTCCTGGAGGACCCTGCGGATTTAGTAGTAATATGGTAATTATGTTTTTCATGTTTTGGTCAGAACTCGACAGGAATATTCGATCATGAACATATAGCAGTCCCTCATTCCTGACTCACACAACATGCGCTGCAATGTTAAACAACTTAAAGTCAGGATGATCCTTCCTAATAGTTCGCTGTGCGTTTGGCTGTTTTTTTTACATGTTCCAACTTGCATGCGATTCAAGTCTGCACAATGAGCAGGCACCTCTGGTCCAATTTCTCCACTGATTCCACGGGTTCCAGGAGGTCCCATGGGTCCAGGCTGTCCAATGTATCCTTCCTTTCCAGGAGGCCCA